GTCTGTTAGCTTTTAATTGATGTATTAGCCACTTTACTTATGCTTTTGTCTGGCTGCTTTATATGGTAGTTTTCTTCAATCAATATATTCTATTTGTTATTCTCATATTTTTCTATGTATTGTATTAGTAGTAATAAAAAAGTGCACGTACTGTATACACCATTAAGTGTTTGCAGATGGGAACTTTGGTATTAGTACTGGTCTTCCTTCAGCAGCCTTAATACGTAGAACAGCCCCTTGTGTTATGTAATTCCACACAGGTCTACTGAGATGTTCCATTGTGTTCAATAGTAAAACAATGTAAGCTGCATTGCATTGCTGCTTTAGATTAACTGATAATTATGTTGGATTTGCCTGACATGATGGTGACAATATAGAGGGACTTTATTGAGAAAGTAAAACAGGATCAGGCATCTCGGGTTTTCTCGTTTCCTTTTCATGCACTAAATCCACAAGTACGTTAAATCCACAGAAATAGTATTTATTCTGATTTTGGCATAAAGATTTTAGTTAAATATTGTGATTTTTTTTTATAAAAAAAAGGATAGTGAGAGTCCTGAACACAAAAGGGGGGGGAGGGATCGTTGTCATTTCATTTGGCTTCTCTCAAAAGGCAATCCATCCAATAAGCCACTAAATACAACTACAAATGTACTAGGACACATACAAATGAAGCTGTATAAAACCATTCACTAGAGATTCAAATGCTATTGAATAAGCCTCTATAAATCGGGTCTATAACATCTGAGCAGATAGCTCTGTCAAAATCAATCTGTCCTGTTTCTTTAGCTGACTAAGCGGCAAACTTCTTAATGCAGAAAGAAAACTGACTAGGTCCTGCACAGTCTTTCTTTTTGTTTCAATGTTTTCTGTCAGAATTCAGGATATTTATATAAGAACAATTATTTTGATGTAAAACATATGACAAAGGAGAAGCGAGTGAGTTACAAGGCTGGGGTGGGCAATAACCAACATGGTCCTTTCAAAGTGTTGTTAGACTCTAACTTCCATCAGGCCCAGCAAGCATAGTCAGGGATAATGGGAGTGGTCCTTTCCCTTGGGTAACATCTGAACCTAAATTGGGGCTGGAGTATGTGATGCAATCCTTCAAAGTGAGTTGTAAAACATGTTGTTTTAATGACTTGGAGCTCCTTTCTACAACTTACGTTACTGCTACACACAAAAGGAAGTTCAGATGAACCCCCTCAAGCATTCAAAGAACTAAATGCTCCTTTCTTTGGCTTAGGCTGCTATGCAATTCCACATTGCCCTGCCTACTAGGGCAAAGGTGACACCATTTGTGTTGTTCTGGCTGAAAGACAGAGTGACGCAAATCCAGAAGACACAAATCATTCGGACCTGTTGGTGCTGCTAAGTTCTCCTCTCCATCTGAGGAAACATCTAAGAGTTAAAGGTGTATTTTAAGCTGAACCCATATAGCTGAGAATTCACAGGTCTCTGTGAACATTCCACAACTGAGAAAGGCCTTTCCTGCAAAGTAGAGCCACTCAATGTATGCTATTTCAGACTGTCCCTTTCTTATAAGAAGATTAAACAAATTCATATGGGATGGGTCTACCAATGGCTGTTGTGATGACACCTAAACATTCAAAGGCCACAAAATACCAGATACTTGAATGTAGGGTGAAAAAGAGATGTTGCCTTCATGCTACTAAGCGTTCTTGACAACTGTGGGAAACTGGATGCTGAACTAGAGAGACTTTTGATGCATAGTTGGTGGGAACATGAGAGAAAGTCTTCTTGGAGGTTGCTTCCAACCTTGGAACTCCCCAATGATGAGCTCCTACTGGCAGGCAAATACTGTTTTATTCAGACAGGTTGTTGGCCCCATATGCTGCATATATGATGGAATTTGCTCAACTGGGTGTTTTTATCAGTTTTGATGATGTGCTTTTTAATTTGTGGCTGTATTAAGCACCATTTGGTGGAAAGATGGGTTACAGGTTAGCAAACAAATAAAAAAGACATATTAGTCTGTTCCAGCAACTTTAATCTTCTCATTGCAATGCGGTAAAAATAAAATTATAAAGCATCCATCATTGCCCAAGTTTCAGAATCATTACGTCTCTGAAACACCATGGTAATTTGAAGCAAATTAGCTAATTTGAGCTCTGTTCCATTAGGCAAAATCATAGTCTCAACTGAGATTTTACACTCTATTTCAAAAGATCCCCTTTGAACCAAAATTTCACTGTTTGGTTACATCCCTCCATTTAAAATGTTTCACCCCTCCAAATCCAATATGACTTTAAATTCTTCTTTGGTGTCCCCTGTACTCTATTTTATTGAATCTTGGATCTATTTCCTCTATGGACAAGACTATAATTTTAATGTTTTAAAATCTGTCTTGCTTTTCTTAACTCTTATACTAATATTAGCTTTAGTTAAATTTTAATGAATCCACTTTTATAGAAACCAGCTGCAGAAAATGGCTATAGTACTGTAGAAAACACAATTTGCCACCAAGTAAGTCAATTTTAGTAGATCCCTGTTGTGTCTTATACTAACTGAGTTATGATCCCTATCTGAGCCTAGCAATATTCTTTCAAGTAATAACGGTAGTATTTTAACTTCCTTTTTTGTGAACATTTTATTAATTTCTTTGCAGAATTTTTATTGTATTGTTATCACTGTTCTACTTCAGCTAGCCCATGAAACACAGAGGCTACACAATATTTTCTCACTGTCTTTCAGATTCCTAGTCTTCTATAGCATAAGCTCAAAAATATATCTTTTAAGCATTTGTTGGGAGAGTATCCCTATTATCACGGTGCTCAACACGCAAAGAATGGGAAACAGTTTTGAACATTACTGAAGGTTGATGCATATGTTACCAGAAAAGCCATGAATGGTAACTTAGTAATGCTAGTGACACTCCTGGCAGCATTAGAAGGAAACTAATGATGTGGGTGGGTCTGGTATCGTGGGCAGAGCAGAGCAATACTGGCATCATAAATAACTATGTTGCCAGATAACAGGCTCTCATGAACCAGTTTTGAATGTGATCTGAAGGGACACAGGAAGTATAATTACTTTGTGCTTCCTGTTTTCCACACTTATTTATAATGTGCTATCTGTTACTCATGACATTTCTAGTCACATATAAAGGGACACACATGGTGCTGTGGTCTAAACCACTGAGCCGCTTAGGCTTGCTGTTCAGAAGGTTGGCAGTTCGAATCCACACAACGGGTGAGCTCCCAGTGCTCTGTCCCAGCTCCTGCAAACCTAGCAGTTCAAAAGCATACCAGCACAAGTAAATAAATAGGTACTGCTGCAGTGGGAAGGTAAACAGCATTTATGTGCACTCTGGCACTCATCATGGCCCTCCTTGTGCCAGTAGTGGCTTAGTCATGCTGGCCACATGACCCAGAAAGCTGTCTGCAGACAAATGCCAGCTCCCTCGGCTTGAAAAGCAAGATAAACTCTGCACCCCATAGTCGCCTTTGACTGGACTTAACTGTCTGGGGTCCTTTACCTTTAGTCACATATAAAGGAATGAATTTGGCATAACTAGACCCCAATCGGAAAGAAATCAAGATAGAAATATTTTACAATGGCGGTATTACATTGCTAAGAAAGGTAGATAGCAAGCAAGATCAAGGCAATGTCAATAGTAGGTGAATTTCAATGTTCAACCAATGTTCTTCAGGAACACGGTCCATTCTCAAGAGTTCTATCTTTTAAACCCTGAGTTGAGTATTTCCTTGGTATGTGTAGTTTGAAACTGAGTACAGAATGTATAATCCAATTCCTACTGAAATTTTAACATGGGTTGTGTTGATTGTAATAGGAAATATATGACCGATTGCTGTTTTATTTGGAATTTTGTTACAGCACAATGTCATTCACATTTACTCAGAACTAAGCATCATTGAGTTAATGGGACTTACTCCAAGGTAAGGCTGTACATTATTTTGGAAATGTCAAGCAGCATTGACAATATGCTTACATTGCATTGTTAGGCTCATAGTTTACAGGAGACTATGATCATAAAAGATACCATCCATCTATGATTTATTTCCTTTTCAATTAGTTTGTCAGTTTAAAGAAAAATATTTTCTTTTCCTTTGTACTGCACATTTTAAAAACTGCATTAAACTGTTTAAAAAGACATGATAGCCTGCTTTAGTTTCAGTTACTGGTGGCACTGCCACTACTGGGTTTTTATTATGCAAATTGCTGCAATCTGGTTAGTTCCTTCCTCTTTTTTCTGTTACAAAAGGGGGCTGCAAGTGCTAATCAAAGTGTTGCAATTTCCATATTAATGATGTTTTCATAATGACACTTACTTGATATGCAATGTGAATGGAGTGGTGACTTTTTATTCTTCTTCAAAGAGACAATAAAAAAATGTTAATTTTTATGAAATAAAGCATGTTTGTTTTGAAACTAGTAGCATTTGTCCAGTACTATTGTTCCCCTACCAATAATGTGTAATAAAGCATTTCTAATTTAAACACAGCAACAAGCTATAGAGTGTTCTTGTTAACACACACCATGACCCAGTCTGTACTATTCTCAAACCATGGCTTATTGAACAAACTAACCAAATCACCCTGCTGAGATCCTGAGGGCCCTGCTGCTGCCCAGGGTGGACTGCTTCATAAGGACTTCTGCTGCCCAGTACAGAGGGCCTCTTCTTCTAATTTTTTTAAAAAAAAATTTTATTTTGTGTGTGTGTGTCTTAATTGTTTTTAACTGAGTTGTAAGGGCATTTGTGGGATATGCCTGGGAGGAGAGGAGCTGGGGAGAGCAGGGAGAGGTCCAGTTACGGTTGTTCTGGGTAGGGGAAGGTATGGCGTGGGAGGTGGGGCAGGCCAGGTAAGGGGCACATGGCACAGGCAGTTAGTGGCTGTGCCATGGGCCAACCCCTCTTCCAATTTGGGGAATTGTGGTTGTCATATCAGTCAGCCCTTGGGTCTGCGACTGCTGCTGTTCAATGCCAGGATCTTCCGCCTGACACCAGCTACTGGCCAAGGGAACTGCTGCTGTTGGGAACGCTGCTTATCTCCTCTTTTATACATGGAAGTTTGCTCCAACTACCTGTTGCTTTTAGTCTACAAACTCAGAGCAAAGCATCTCAGTTTTTGGTCAGAGGAAGGGGCTGCTGGTAGGCTTTTAATTTATACACAATTTCAATATCACTAGCACTTTAAAATACTTAGATTCACTATTTCAACTGTTCAAAACACCTCCAGAATTTTAATGAAAGAGTTTATACTGGATAGCTTTTCCATAAGATGACAATCATCTCCCTGCAAAAAGAGCTGGCAAGCATAGTTTGAGTTCCAGCTTGTGCATATGTTAAAGCATTTAATCTTTTATCTACTGTGAGCAAAAGTTGCATTGTGGTTTAGCCTGGTCATGTGAATCCACATCCATACTTTGTACAACATGCTTTTGCAAAATTCAGCCATAATATCCTTCATTGTGGTAGGCAGTTTCTCCAGGTCATCTGTTCAGTATATCAAGGATCACGGAATGTTTGTCTGCAGCACTGCCTTTACCTAACATTTCAAATAAAAGACTGCAGTCAGCCGTTTCTAAGGAAAACAAATTCACTGAATCACACTATTTGTTACTTATTATTGAGCATCGAATAGCTCACCAAAGTTCTTTGTCGAAATACCTGAAACAGGCCATCAGAGTCAAAATGATATAGAGTCCTGCAATGCTGTGTTACAGTTTTTCTATTTTCATGAAGCAATTGTGGCTCTGAAAGAAAAGAATAAAACTACAGCCAGGTTATTTGTACCTGGTGGATTCGTTCAGCTTTCAACAAAATCAGCAAAAGAACTGGAGGAAAAACAGAAGGTTACAAAGCATCCCAGGAATTTATGAAGTGAAAAGGGAAATAATGACTTTCTAGCAAATAATACCATGTATTCTTGGGTTACAGTAACAAGAAGGGGGTCAGCTTTTTGTGATAGCCACCTTACCTACTGTTCTTTGAAAACTCCAAGTGATGTAATTTGACTAAATTTGAGAGAGTCAGGGATTAAGATTGCCCTACTTTTCCCTTAATAATTAATTCAGACAATTTCCACAAATTGACTACAACCCCCCAAAAAAAGAAATTCTAGGGGGGGGACTTATCTAGAGTGAAGAGATTGGATGATGAAATCCAAAGAATCTCAAATTAACATCCCAAAACCCAACACGGTCCAATTCACTCCAAACCAGTGCCAAAGTTTGACCTGAAGTTTAGTCGGAATCTCCTTTCTTCTAACTTGAAGCTATCAGTTCAAGTCCTAGCCCCCAGTGTAGGCCAAAACAAGCTTGCTCATCTTTCATGTGACAGCACTTTTTCAAATCCCTCAAATGTTCCTCATAAAGCTTGGTCACCCTCCTCTGCACACGTTCTTCTAAAACTGTGGTGCCCAAAACTAGACACAGTACTCCAGGTGGGATCTGAACAAGGCAGAATAAATTAGTACTATTACTTCCCTTGATCAGGACACTATACTTCTGTTGATGCAGCCTAGAATAGCATTAACTTTTTAAACTGATGCATCACACTGTTGACTCACATAAAGTTTGGGATCTAAGTGCCCTACATCCGTTTTACATGTACTACTGGTAAGCCAGGTGCCCCCCATCTCATAATTGTGCAGCTAGTTCTTCCTGCCTAGGGATTTGAGAGCAGGCTTCCCTGGTCATATTCCTACATTCCAACTACTGTGCCACACTGGCTTTCTGTAAAATTAAGCAATAGCTTTTTTATGTGCTAATGAGTGCTCACAAATTACACAGATCACTTGGTGCTAACTTGGAAATAATACTCTTGAAAAGAAGACATTTCACACATTCATTGAGTGAACAAGAAGATCATGATAGGTCAAGTGAAGCACATGTATGTGTGAGCTGTTTCCAATTCTAAGGATAAAATGATGGATGATGGCCTGAACATATTTGGAAAAAATATTCAGTAGAGTGCAGGTGTAACAGTGAAAGATACTGGATCATTTGCAGACATTGTAATAAATCTTCATTTCAATCCAGTCTTGCTGAAGATTTGTTCAAAGGATCGATCAATAGACCATATAGTTTTAATTAATGAATCCTGAAGACTGAATAGGATGAACTGACCACTCTTGCAGACTAATGTGGGCACTGAAATTAATATTGGTATCCAATTCCAGCCCTGGTCCATCAGCAATTCAATGAAAAAAAGCATATCTTGTTCATCCAAAGGTTTAAAATGCTGCTGCTGGTGGTCCGTTGTGCAGCATTCTATGGCTTGTTTATTAATAGAACAGAAAGTGTTCTATTAAATTAAGAAAACACGGTTCAGCATGTTGTGTTATGGAGTTTTCCATGTTCACTCAAGTTCCAGAATGCTGGGAAATTGCAGGTGTTAATGACAGCAATATGAATGTGGTATGGAATCTTGTGTTCAAGCCTAACCTCTACCTTGGCAGAATGGTGGACCCAACTCTCAGATTTGTATGTTTACAGTGGTACCTTGGGTTACATATGCTTCAGGTTACATACGCTTCATGTTACAGACTCTGCTAACCCAGAAATAGTACCTTGGGTTAAGAACTTTGCTTCAGGATGAGAACAGAAATCGTGCAGCGGTGGCGTGGCGGCAGCAGCAGCAGCAGCAGGCCCCATTAGCTAAAGCGAATTAAGTACGTAACCAGAGGTACCACTGTACTGGAACAGATTTGGAAAGGATTTGTCTTTTCACTGGAATAGGCACATGGAGTCCATGCAACTGAAGCTAATATCTTATACCTATTAAGTGGTTAATTTATAAAGTGAAAAATAAAGAGTCAAAACTCTTATGAGAATATCAAAGGGAATTTTATTGAAAATGTCCATGTGTCTTCTGCTGTTTTGGAATTCTCCCTCATCTCACAGAAAGCATAATTTAGTTTGAGAGGTGTGGAATGGGGAAAATATAAAGTATTCTACTGGTGCATTTCTCTCTCCCCTCCCCAATACTAAGTACATAGTTAAGAATTTCTGCCTGGTGCATGCATAAAGTGCACTATGTTCACCAAGAATTTCTCTGTGATGCATCCTTAAAACACAAAGTGCTCCCTCACCACTAAAATGTGTAACGAATGTCCAGGCGGAAATTATACATCCACATCTTCCCAAATGCTTGCTGCAAACACATACAATTAATTTCTTGCTTTTAAAGCACTTCGGTTAACACAGCCCAATCAAATGTTTGCTCTGTAGAGGATAACATATATTAATTGGTTTGATCTGCCTAGCCATTTAAGGGTTAAATACAAGTTTATGGGATCATCCGCCCCAGGATTGTTTGTTCTTACAGTTTTCAAAATAAACAGAACTTCACTTGCTTTTTCTTTGTGTATGTTTTCATATCAGTTGGGCTATCTTCACATTTAACATTAGATCTATGCATTGTTCCCCTTGCAATATTCAGGTCCACATGCATGAAATACAAGCAAAATGCCCTTTTCACTAGTTTCCTTGTTATTTTGTTTCTTTCTTTCATTTATTGAGAAAAGAGAAAATATTGTTAACAACTTAGAACTCTTTCTCTCGCTAAAAAAAGTTGTTTTTCTTCATAATAGTACGATACTGAAAATACAGAAATATCTTAAACTTTCAAATGATGTGGAAAAGAAAATGTGATAAAATTAGTCACAAGTTTCATATGTGGAAGGAAGAGAAAAAAGACCCACATGAGGGGGGGAAAGTGAGCTGACAGCCTTAAAAATTGCCCTAATTGAGAATGGGAATATGAGACACATCTAGCCACTTCCAGGGCCTTGAAAGGATTGGCATTCCATCTTCTGGTTCTGTATTATGAACAAACCTGGAATCTTTTTGACCTTGTGAATTCAGCTTGAGCCAAGCTGAGTTGAAAACCTTAAATCAAGATCCTGTCAGAATGTGATGATTCTTGAAAGAATGATAACCTGCAGATAAGGCAAAATGAAATTTAGTTGGCTCTTGTAATGGCTTGGACCTACTCTAGGAATGGAAATGTCAATCATGTGGCCTCCTTCCAAGGTTAAATGGGAAGTTGTGCTTGACTTCATAGATGGAGTCCTTTGGCTATTGCTTCCCTCACATTTGGCACAAAAGAGGACAGAAGAAAGGTATGTTAAAGGGAAAGGATAAATGACCAGGTAACATGAAATACTTTTTTGGAGGGGAGGTCTTGAATGGACCATATTTAAGAGATGTGGCCAAAACTGATAGGAGGAAGAACAGTTTGCAAACCAAGACATTTGCTAACATCTCAAAAACCTGCTCTTTATCTTTTTATATACAGACTGGGGCTAAAGGGACATTACTTTCACACTGAAATATGCTTTTAGCAATTCTAGCAATGCAGGATATATTTTTTTAATGCTTGAATATTTTCATGTTTTGAATAATGCTGTTTCAAGAATCAATCATATTATTCCCTAGAAGGTTTGTAGGATGGTCACTGTCATTTTGAATTAAACAGGTAATTCAGAAATTACCAGAAATTCAAAAACTTGGGCAGAGTGTATTTGAGGGAGCAACATAAATGCTTCCTTGGGTGTCATAATGCTCTGTGGGGTGCTGCTGTTACTGTGGACCGTACACCACCACTAATGCAAACAGAGGTTTTGGTAGTAAAAGTCTTCTCATATCCAATTGTACAAATTTGGATGACTATTTACATTGCTCATGAGAAGGTGCTCAGGCAGGCTGGACCTACCAAGGTGTCCTTGGTACTTACAATGAAATCTCCCAATACCACATCTGGGGTTTTGTCCAACAGAACTTCTGAAATTTCTTCCCTGAGCTGGCAGAAGCAGACTGCTGAGCAGTGAAGTGGATGGAACACTAAGAGAACCCTGACTCTGGTCCAACACCAGGTACAAGCCTTCACTCTTGGTCCCCAGGAAGTCTGGTTGCCTGACAGAAGCAGTGGAATTCCAATGCATTATGGCAGCCCAAATAACTTGATTCTCCTGTCTCTGCTGGTGCTGAACCAAGTACACTGGGGACATAGCTAATTGAGATCAGGTGATCTACAAAGGTCTTGATAATATATGCCAGGTCAGTCCCCTCAATTAAATTATGGATGAGTGAAGCATTCACCAACATTCCTGCTAGTATGGAGTGCTGGTTAGAACGACAACACAGCTGCTGAAGGAGGTGGCAGATTACAGTATCTAATGGTAATTAGGGCTCCCTGCCACCTATCTCTTAAATTCAACACAAACAATGCTACATTTTCTGTCACAGGGTTGCTGAAACATTTGGTTTGCTTTTGTTATGAGCAACAGACTTAAAAGAAAGGGATTATAGTATTAAAATTTTTAGGGTGCTGTCCTTCAACCTCTCAGTTTTCATCAGCAGACTGATGCCTTTCAATGCAAATAAAGTTGAAATAAAGCTCAAAGTTCCTGATATGGCATTGTATATTGTTTTATATAGATCCATCACCTGCCCTTCCAAACTTTTTTGTAAAGTTTTTGTCTTATGAAATGGAGCTTCCAGAATTTCACTTGGAGAGAGATGCTTAAGCCCATTTACCCACTAAAAACTGCATGCCCAACTGATTTACTCCCCAAATGGGAAATATACAAGGCACCCTCTTTCCGTACACCCATGTTCAGCCCACGTCTTCAGTGCCTGCCATGGGCTGGGTGACGGGAGCACCTTCCAATCACAGGAACAGCAGCACAGCATTCCCGAGGAATAGGTCCTGGTGCTGTGGACTCACATTTGTTCATGTGAGCACCTCA